TAGTAAAGAAAAATGAAAGAATATTTTAATTTTTATGCAACCAGATACTTTCTTGTTTGGTTTTTACCTTCGATATCAAGCCTAGAAAGACCTTTCTTGTGCCAAGATTAGATAATTATGTTCTTATATTTTAGTATTATTATGGCTTTACTTTTTTAACATTTATAACTTTAATCAATTGCAGTTTATTCTGCTATGACACGAGTTATAAAACTATAACACTATTTAATAAAAAATCCATCTACCCCCGTCTTAGTTACCTAGTGCTGCTATAACAGAAATACCACAAGTGAGTGGCTTCAACAAACAATTTTAATTGCTCACAGTTTAGGAGGCTAGAAGTCTGAATTCAGAGAGCCAGCTCTAGGAGAAGGCTTTCTGTCTCTGTCACCTCTGGGGGAAGGTCCTTGTCTCTTCATCCTCTGCTTCCTGGTTCCTTGGAGATCTCCATGTGTCTTGGCATCTATCTTACCCCATCTCTGCTCACTTGACTGCTTGCTTAATCTCTTTTCTACCTCAAAAGAGATTGATTTAAGACACTCCCTGCACTAATCTTGTCTCATTAACGTAACAAAGACAACCCATTCCCAAATGGGGTTATAACCACAGGCATAGAGGTTAGGATTTACAGTGCATATTTTTGGGGACACGACTTAATTCCCCCCGCCCCCGAAGAAGAAAACAAACCCTATGGGGCAGTTCTACTCTGTCACACGGGGTCGCTGTGAGTCAAAATCAACTCAGTGGCACCCAATAACAACAACAACCTGTGTTTGCCCCAGTTATGACCCCAGGGAAATCTGTTGTTTTCCTTCTTATAGTTTTGATGTAATGCATCTTGCATCTTTGTATCTTTTATGGTCTGTATTGTACTCCTCAGACCTCTTGTTAGAAGTACAGGAACCCAGCATGAACAGTACCACATTCACGCTAAGCAAGAGAGAGAATACTCTGGTTCTGTAACATGGCAGCTGGGGTGCCTAGCGCCAGGGGCTGCTGGAATGCTCCCTCTTTTCTTCCATCTCTGCTCCCTTTCCGAATCCCCTTTGTCCTCTGCCATCATCATGCAGCAGCAGTTCTGGCTTTACATCCTTCCTCTGTCTTGACCAAAGAGAAAAGGGAGCCTCCCCGATCAGAGCCAGATGGAAATCCAGGGGACTATTAATTGGCCCGGTTGGATCCTAGGCTTAACTGTGAACTGGTTACAAGGCAAGTGTGGTACTAGGACTGCTGTAGCCTGGTCCCATGCCTACCTTTGTAGTACAAGAGGTGGGCAGGGAAGTGAGCAGACACAGCATTCGCTTCCACTTCGCACATAGGAAGGGAGAGGTTTCAGGGGTAGGGGCTTGACAAGGACCCAGGTAGCAGCTGAGGGACAGAGCAGACGCCTCCAGAGGCCCCAGCAGTCTGTTCCCAGCCATCTCTCTCGAGGTGCTCATCAATAAATCTTGGCCACGACCCAGCAAAGCCATGAGCCA